GAGAAGACAAGAGAAGCAGTGAGGCAATTAGAGGGCCATGACCAAGAACATTCTTCTATTGAGCAAAGACAGAGAAGTCTGGTGCTAGGTGAGGGTCCAGCATAGGTCTTAGAGGATGAGGTTGGAGGTGCTCTTGGCTGATCCCACATCCTCACTTCCCCTTCTGCAGGCAGCTTCTCTCCTACATCACCAAGGACAAGCAGACCGAGAGCTTGGTAGAGAAGCTATGTCAGCGGTTCCGCACAGCTCGGTACATTGCCTTTCCTGAAAGATCTTTTGTGTTGACAACAGCCACATGGGGGAAAGAACTCCCCAGTGATATACCTGGGACCAAGGGAGACCTATGAAGGATAACCCTTTGTGAGCTATTGCTCACAAAGCCTTTCCCATCTGCAGAACTGAGCGACAGTACCGGGACCTGGCCTACTGCATGTCACAGCTTCCCATCACAGAGCGAGGCCTACGCAAGATGACGGACAATTTTGACTGCTTTGGAGATAAATTGTCAGATGAGTCCATCTTCGGAGCTCTTTTGTCCATTGTGGGCAAATTGCGGCGAGGGGCCAAGCCAGAGGGCAAGGTAAGCAGCACAGTTTAATAGGGGTTGCTCTCCCTAGGCAGTGTTCTGAGGCTCTTGTGCTCACACTATTGTATGACTTATCCCCAGCTTCACTATAACTATGTTACCAAGGTGATTTGAGAATAGATTTTTTTTAAATTTTGTTTTATTTTTTTGAAACTAGGGATTGAATCCAAGGGCAATCTAGTACTGAGCTATATTCCCAATTATTTTTATTTTATTTTGACACACGGGCTTATTAATTTGCCCAGATTGGCCTCAAACTTGAGATCCTCCTGTCTCAGCCTACCAAGTCATTGGGGTTAAGGATGTATTACCACGATAGGTTAAGATCCAATCTTTCTGTCTTTAATTCTTCTTTTTCTTTCTTTTCTTCTTTTTTATAATAGACTTTCTTTTTTAGAGTAGTTTTAAACTCAAAGCAAAACTGAACAGTGAGTCAGAGTTCCCATATACCCATCTCCACACACACAACCTTTCCCCATTCTCAATTTCCTGCACCAGAGTGGTACATTTGTTACAGTCTATATTGACATAAATGAGTGTTGAATTAGTGACCACATTAACAGATCATCACCCAAAGTTCACAGTTTAGATTAGCATTACTAAATATAATGACTCGTGCCCACTATTACATTAGAATAGTTTGCCCTGAACATTTCCTGTGTTCTATCTATTCCCCCTCCTCCCTCCCAATTCCTAGCAAGCACTGATCTTTTTATGTCCTCCATGGTTTTGCCTTTTCTAGAATGTCAAAAACTTGGAGTCAAATAGCATGTAGCCTTTTCAAATTGACTTCTTTAGCTTCGCAGTAAAAATTTGCCATTTTTCCATATCTTTCATCGCTCTGTCTTTTCAATCATAGAATAACAATGTCTCCAGACTTGCTGTTTAATCTCCTTTTTTCCTTGCCAGGCTATAATAGATGAATTTGAGCAGAAGCTTCGGGCCTATCACACCAAAGGATCAGATGGAATAGAGGAGCTTGAGATTGGCCAAGGAGGTAGCCAGAGAGCCCCATCAGCCAGGAAACAATCTTCTGGTATGGGACACAGCCTCACAGTGGGAAGCCCACAAGCAGCAGTTACCTTTCTTTTAATCACATCTCCTTGTCTTTTAGTCCCTAGGAAGCAGCGCTTGGCCTCTGCCTCCTCGGACAATGACTTTGTAACACCCAAGCCTCGGCGAACTACTCGCCAACTTCCAAAAACTCAGCAGCACACTTCGAAAAAGAAACCCAAGGTTGTCTTTTCAAGCGATGAGTCCAGTGAGGAAGGTATGATGCCCCATCTTGGATGGCTACTTTTGATGGGATCCCTGTTGTAGGGCACAACTGAGTATAGATTATCTTTGCCCCACTGCCCCATGATGTCTTCCTCTCTGCAGTTTGGATTTATCTCTACAGTGTGGTGTGGAGCTGTCATATTTGTTCTCTGAGATCTATTTTTCACCATCTTTGTGATTCAGCTCTTTTTATTCCTCCAATCCTTTGAATAGAGCTTTCAGCAGAGATGACAGAAGATGAGACACCCAAGAAAACAACCCCCCTCCGCAGAGCATCCACTCTCAGGCACAGATCCTAAGAAGTCAAATTACCTGTTCTCATCCCTGCTGTGCAGGGTATCCTCTGGGATGATCTTGAATTCCAGTTCTCTTATCTCTGTATAGTATTGTTTGCCTGTCACCTTGTTTTTTTTTTGTTTTTTTGTTTTTTTTTTACCTTGTTTTTTTTAATACATAAATGATCTTTAAAATTCAAGGCATTTCTCTAAACTAGCCTGCCTGAATTAGGTTGAGCTGCTTTCACTTTGCAATAGATGTTTGCCAGTCTCCTTGTTTCCTAATGAATAAATGCTTTTACATACTTTTTAGACATTTCTGTCCTAAACTTGTCTTTGTTTTTTTTTTAAGTTGGACACAAAACTTTTATTTTATTTATTTTTATGTGGTGCCGAGGATCGATCCCAGGGCCTCACTTGGGCTAGGTGAGCACTCTATACCGCTGAGCCACAACCCCAACCCTTGTCTTTGTTTCATCTTTCACATTAACCCAGATTCAGGTAATCTGGTGCTGGTCTCCAAATCTCTGATAAGCTTCATGCTCCCCTTCACCAGTTTCACCTGCACAAGTGACAAGATGGCCCCACTGTGGAGAATTATGCAGTTTCTGGGCTCTAAATCAGTGCTTCTCAGCATGGGGCGTGGGGAATAACAGAAGTTTGATAATGCCTAGAGACTCTGTCACAGCCTGAGGGGAAATGCCAGCATCCAATGAGTAAAGACCAGGGATGTTGGTAAACATCGTACAGCCCAAAAGACAGATTTATTTGACCTAAAATGTCAATAGTGCTCAGGCTGAGAAACCCTGCTCTAGACTAAAGGTTGATTTCCTCCATATTCCCTGCCCTGCCCCATTCCCTTTCCCATCCCTGAAGACTAGCTACTGGCCTGGCCTGGTTGATCATGATCCCCTCCAGCTCTATAGAGACAAGGTGTGCCTACCAGGGGTTCCTTACTATGTTACCAGGTGTGCAGTAGGTCTAGCCCTTTAGGTGGAGGCCACACTATTCATGGTGTCCTTGAAGCCTGCCCATTCTTCTCTAGCTCCCCAAGTCTTATTTCTGCTGAGTCATCTGGAACCAGAGGCAGTGAGCCTGTTGTCATGACCACATTCCTGTCTTTGCTGTCATGACAACAGCACAGTGCACCAGTAGCACTCCACGGGCACTGAGCTCTCTACCTTTTTTGGGGTGGGGTGCAGGGAACAGTAATGAGAAATGACAAACCTGAGGCAAAAGGGAAGATGATACTTCACAATCACACTTTGGACAGAAGCATGGAAGGACTCTGAGGCCTTTGGAGGGGAAAGGGTTAACGTTCCTTTGTGGGCCTCTGCTGGAAGGAAGCAGTCTCCTCAGGGGTGCTGTGGGCTGCTTCCCCCACCACTCAGGCACTGCAGCCTCCTCCCACCCCTCCTCATCCTGTGCCCACTTGGCCTGCTCTTGCTGCTCATGAAAAGCCTGGGCACTGGCCATGCAGGTGGCTGCCAGGCATGGACACAGCCTTGGCTCTGGGGCCTCAAGAAGGGAGGGCCCTCCCAGAAAGGCAAGGAGCTGGGGCTGGAGTCGGGGTGCAGCACTGCATGCTCCCTGCCTTTTAAGCAAAGGTTATCATTGGGCTAGCTAAACTTAGCCACAGGCTTTTAGCTAGAAGGGCAGGGGGCTGGTCTCAGATTTCGCTGGCCTAGCAAAGCCACCCTGGATCCCCCTGCCCTGCACCAGCTGATGAGCCGCGCCCATCCCACCCCACCCCCTTCCAGTCCTCATTCCTTCCAGCCTCACACAGTTCACAAACCTGGCCCTGTCCAGGATCTCTACCCTTCTAAGAGAAAAATGGATTCCTATCATTCCCTCCCGTTTGTGGGAAGGGGCTAGGCACCTGTCCTACCACGTGCCTGAGACCCCTTCTCCCACACACCCCTACCTCTCTGGACTCACCCTGCCCCCAACATCCGCAGGGGCAGCCAGTGGAGGGAGTTCCTGCCTCCCTGGCCGGCCAGCACGTACTAAGATAGGGGAGGGACTTCCGCCCTCACGTTCTGCTCTTCTGCCCTGGGCTGCTGTGGGTGAAAGGAGCACTGTCTCCTAGTGTGGGTGGCGCAGCCCTCAGGTTCCCAGGAGCAGCTCTGTGGGAGGTCTCTGAGTCTCCTCCAGCCCTGCCCCAGTGATGCTGTCCTCCCCCTGGGGCCCCAACCCAGGCCTGGTGAGAGAAGCTGGTGCAGACAGAGACTGGTTTGTCTGCCCCAATTATCAGGTTTCCAGGCTGCCAGGGCCTCAGGACGTAGTGACCTTCTGTGCAGGAACCTCCCCCTCATCCTCCTCCCTCTCCAGGCCCCTACTGCCTTGTCTCCAGCCCAGGCCCCCAATCCAGAGAGGCCGCGAGCCAAGAGATGGGGAGGGGGAAGTGGAGCCTAGGAAGCCCCCACCCCCACCCCACAGGAGGCGCCCGCGCCCCTCCAGGGCCTTGTTTTCAGCTGTTCCTGTATCATTACCAAAGAGCCTAGAGAAGAAGATCCTCAACTTTCCCGCCTCACAGCCTTTGAAAGAATGAGAAAGGGACAGCCGCGAGCACTCCCGAGCTCCGGCTTTAATTCCCCTCCCTACCAGTTCCCAAAGTCCTCCCGTTTCGACTGTGCCGCAGCTTTAACATCCCTGACTCCTAGATATCCTCCGCGAGCACTAGAGCCCGCGTCCTCAAGTCCACTGTCATCTACATACCCTCAGTCCCATCCTGAGAATCAATCACAGGTCACCTCCCGAACGGGTCAATCTCAGTCCCTTCCCCCTCTCTGTCCGGAGCCCATACGTTTGGTGCGTGCATGTTTCAAGAACGGGGCGGGCCGATAAAAAAAAAAGGGGGGGGGGAAGAGGCCCGGCTACTCTTGGTTTTACGGGCGCACGTAGCTCAGGCCTCAGCGCCCTTGGGCAGCGACTGGGCCAGCGGGCGGGGGGCGGGGCTCGCGTCACCAGCTCCCACCCCCCACTCCCGTTCCTATAAAGGGGGACTGCAACCTCCGCCGGCGCTCTCTGCTCCTCCCCGTTCGACAGGCAGCCACTTCTTCTCGTCTCGTGCAGTGCCAGGTGAAAACGAAAAGCAGCTACTAGCGGCTTGGGATGATCAGAACCCGGGAGAGGGAGTGTGTGCGGTCCAGGGTTTTAGCGGCTTTGATGTGGGGCGGAACCGAGCTGGGTCGGGTGGGGCCTCCGCATTGCAGGGGCAGGAGGACGTGAGGAGGCGCGATGTGGACATGGAGGCCCTGGGGGGAGGGGAGGGAGGGTCAGCGGCCCAGAACCTGGCGCCGCGTGGACTGCGCTGATGCTTTCCTTTCTTCCCCTCGCAGTCGCATCTCTGAGACACGATGGTGAAGGTCGGAGTGAACGGGTAAGTTAGAGGCTGGGCTAGGGTGGGGCCCCGGGCTGCAGCCGCCCCCACAGAAATTGCATCTGCAAGTCTGGCCGAGGCCAGGGGCTTTGAAATCGCGTGGCGAGGTGGGTGGGTAGCGCCCTCACCCCAAGGAGAGCTCAAGGTCAGCGCGCAGACCGAGTGTAGGCTCGGGCAGGGGCTCCTGTCCCCAGCTTGTAGCTGGGGAACCTTTACCTTTCCTTCCACCACCTCGGGCAAATGGGAGGCTTTCCTGTTCTCACTCGGGACCCATCCCCTAATCCCCTGGCTGGGGCTGCTTTTCTTTCCTTTCGCGCCCTGTGGGTCACGTGTCGGGGAAGAGCCCCTCCCCCCACGTCCTTCTCCCTCCCGCCTGCCACCCTGGGATGCTAGCTGCAAGGCTTGCGCATCATCAGTTTTACTTGTGGCCACCGGCCCGCCATGTTGCAACGGGGAAGGAAATGAATGAACCACCGTTAGGAAACCTTCCTTGGCTACTCTGTCCGCCCTTGCCTGTGACTAACCTCTCACTCCTCCCTTAGTAGGGTGGAGTCTCCTTTATCCGGTAAACCAGGTGATGCAAGGCTTTCCCCCTTTCTTGGCTCTCAAAAAGAACGGAGCCTCACAACGCAGCCCTCAAGCATCAAGCCAAATTTCTTCTCAGGCCTGATGCTGCTTCTAGACAATTCTCTGATGAATCAAAGAAGTGGGTTCATGGCGACCCTGTTGTCCTCCCTACCCCAGAGGTGTGGTAGCTATGGCTTAGTGCCACACTGGGGGAGCTGAGTCACCGTGGTTAGAAAAGAAAATTTACACCACAAAATGGCTCCCATAGCAGCAGCCCCTTCCCTTGCACTGGCTCAGCGCTCATTCTCACCACCTTTTTTGCTCTGGCAGCCTAGCTGCTACCCTAACCCTAAAGGCCACTATAAAGGTCACTGGGGGGTATTAGGTGTCTGTGAGTCTTGAGAATCCTGTCCTTCTTCCCATTCCATCTTCCAGAAACTAGATCTCCCCACTCCACCCTGATCTGAAGTTAAATATAGCTGCCTGACCTTTCTGTAGGTAGGAGCCTGGGCTTCTGCTCTCCTCCACCCCCTTCCACTACCCACACATCTGTTGCTCCCACTGCTGATTTTAGCTACGAAGGGCAGGTAGTTTAGCAAATTAGAGACTTGGGATTAGAGTGCTGAAGACCAACTGGTTTTCTCCATATCTTTACCTTAACCTCGCCCTTTTGTAGGAGGGACTTGGAGAAGGGGTGGACTTATACCCTGTCCAGTTAGATGCTATCTGACCTTTACTCTTGCCCTTTGAGCTTGGTGATGCTGAGTATACAAGTCTTTTCTGCACAGAGGGTGTAGCCTGAATCCAGGCCAGGCAGAAATAAGCCTTCCCAGGGAATGGGAAGCCGGAATGATAAATACCATGTGCCAAGCTTGTGCCCATGCTGTGGGTGGCATTGTCCTACATTAGTACTTCTTAAAGGATTTGAGATGACTGGGGGGTGGGCAAGTCTTCAAGCCTAGTTATCTCCTGGGCAGGAAAGGAGCCTTCACTTTATGACCATGTTGGAAAACCAGATCAGCCTGGCAGACTTGCTCAAGGAAGATAAAATTAGACCTCTTAGTATTTGGGGGGATGGGGGATGGAATTATGTACAGTTGGCTGCTCATGTCTGAGGGTTCCACATCAACCAACTTGATGGAAAAGAACGCAGGGGAAATAATTAGATAAAAGTTCCAAAGAACAAAACTTGAAATTCCTGTCTACTGAGTACTATACTGAATCCACATAAATGAAATTATGTGTAGGTATTGTTTAGGTATTAAAAGTTAACCTAGGGGTGATTTAAAGTATGTAGGAGGATTGCAGATTATATGCAAATACTGCATCATTCTATGTAAAGGATTTGAGCATCCACAGATCTTGATATGGGGGGAGGATCCTTTTCCAGAATCAATTCCCCATACATACCTACGGATAACTATTTTTTCTGGAAGAGGATGAATCAGCATATCTATTCCCTATCCACAATAATTCCCTACTCATACTTTCTTGCTTCTCACCTCAGATTTGGCCGTATTGGGCGCCTGGTCACCAGGGCTGCTTTCAACTCTGGCAAAGTGGATATTGTCGCTATCAATGACCCCTTCATTGACCTCAACTACATGGTGGGTGCTGCCCTTGCAGGTGGTGGGAGGAGCAGCGTACTTAAGGCAACTGTATTAATGCCCTCAACTTGTTCCCCAGGTCTACATGTTCCAGTACGATTCTACCCATGGTAAATTCCATGGCACAGTCAAGGCTGAGAACGGGAAGCTTGTTATCAATGGAAAGTCCATCTCCATCTTCCAGGAGTAAGTGTGGAAGACAAAACGAGATTATATTTTGTTTCCTTGCCTATTTTGCACAGAGCAGGATCAGGGGATTTTGCTTTGGGGAGGTAACTAGGATAGAGTACCTACCTCAGGTACATGGTACATCACATGCCTGAACTTCGTCCTATTACCTCTCTCCTAGGCGAGATCCCGCCAACATCAAATGGGGTGATGCTGGTGCTGAATATGTTGTGGAGTCCACTGGTGTCTTCACTACCATGGAGAAAGCCGGGGTAAGTGGATAGAAGGCTAAATAGGAGGAGAGTTGACCCTGAATTTGTAGCTAGAAGCAAGAGGGAATCCGACTTAACCAGGAAAAAAAAAAAAAAAGAACATACATTTGTAACCAACCCCTTCGATTATAGGCTCATTTGAAGGGTGGTGCCAAAAGGGTCATCATTTCTGCACCTTCTGCTGATGCCCCCATGTTTGTGATGGGCGTGAACCATGAGAAGTATGACAACTCCCTCAAGATTGTCAGGTAAGGACAGCAGAGGGCATTGGGGAAATGGCAGGCAGTGCTGAGAGTAAGGCTGTGTGCATGCCTTCCCTGACTTTTCCTCTCTTCCCAGCAATGCCTCCTGTACCACCAACTGCTTAGCCCCCCTGGCCAAGGTCATCCATGACAACTTTGGCATTGTGGAAGGACTCATGGTATGTAGATGGTGGGAAATGAGACCTGAGCTGATTAATTCTCACCCAGGGCTGGATCGCTGGATCCTTCTCCATACTTAGTTCCTGCTCCAGGACTAGGGGTTTTAAGGGACTGGCTCAAATCTATCCCTCAATCCCTCCCAAGGGGGAGGAAGGAGGCTGAGTGAGGGCTGGTGTGATGGATACTCGGAGGGGCCTCATCAGCACTTCCATTTTTCCAGACCACAGTCCATGCCATCACTGCTACTCAGAAGACTGTGGATGGCCCCTCTGGGAAACTGTGGCGTGATGGCCGTGGGGCTGCCCAGAATATCATCCCTGCATCCACTGGTGCTGCCAAGGCTGTGGGCAAGGTCATCCCTGAACTGAATGGGTAAGGCTTTGCTGTACCTGGGGGAATAGAGGGGAGGGGGTCAGGAGCACCTGGAGCTGACAGTGCTTCCCCCTGTCTACAGGAAGCTCACTGGCATGGCTTTCCGTGTGCCCACTCCCAATGTGTCAGTTGTGGATCTGACCTGCCGCCTGGAGAAAGCTGTATGTTTGGGTTGGAAACGTGGTGGACTGAGATTTTGTCTGGTAAAACAGTGATTTTGGAAAATGAACATCCATCTTATTTTTACCTCATTAGGCCAAATACGATGACATCAAGAAGGTGGTGAAGCAGGCATCAGAGGGCCCCCTCAAGGGCATCTTGGGCTACACGGAGGACCAGGTACTGGTCTGATAGGACGGGGAATTGCCCTATTAAACAGAGGTGGATTCCCATACTTAACTCTCTTCCTTCCCCAGGTTGTCTCCTGCGACTTTAATAGTGATACCCACTCTTCCACTTTTGATGCTGGAGCCGGCATTGCCCTCAACGACCACTTTGTTAAGCTCATTTCCTGGTATGTAACCTGGGTGAGGGGAACAGACCTGGTGGCTGGCTCAGAAATATGGCTCTTAACAACTTATTCACCTTCTAGGTATGATAATGAATTTGGCTACAGCAACAGGGTGGTGGACCTTATGGTCCACATGGCCTCCAAGGAGTAAGAGCCCCTGGACCACCTGCCCCAGCAAGAACACAGGAAGAGAGAGGCCCTCAGCTGCTGGGGAGTCCCTGCCCCTAACTCAGTCCCTCAACTCACTGAGAATCTCCCCCCTTCCCAATTTCCATCCTAGATCCCCTGAAGAAGGGGAGGGGCTTAGGGAGCCTTATTGTCACATACCATCAATAAAGTTCACTGCACCCAGCCACCTGTCTGTTCTGTGGTCAAGGGAATGAGAAGATGGGAATGTGTGGAGTGGGACCTGACCTTTATCCTTTGGGTTGGTGGGGGTGGGGAAGTGCCTGAGATTGAACTCAAGCACACATTCAACCACTGAGCCATATTCCCAGCCCTGTTTTGTATTTTATTTAGAAATTGAATTGCTTAGCGGCCTCACTTTTCCTGAGGCTGGCTTTGAACTCCCAATCCTCCTATCTTAGCCCTCAGGGTCATTGCAATTACAGGTGCCAGCTATCCTTACTATTACATATATATGCCTTCCTCATTTACATTTTCCCTCTGGGTGCTACATGAAGCAAACTGAATATTGAAAGGCCCTTCACCTGCTACCTTTGTCAGAAAGTTATTTTTACTTTTCTTTTTTTGGTGGTGCTGGGGATTGAACTTGGCCTTACCCATGCTAGGCACCCCCAGCCCTCAGTTATTCTTTCAGGTACCCTTAGGAAAGGTAATATTGATGTCAGGACTTTGGAGTTGTGTATATGAGCCTGACTGGTTGACAGGCTTGTGAAGTATGTAGTAGGCTGCATGGAGACTCCCGCATGCAATTCTAGTTCTTCCACTCATACCTTCATGTGTGAATAACTACAATATGAGGCTATGATTGCATCCTGCAGCTTAGGTCTTTAAATTAGGTAAAACTAAACATGATTAAAATGTCAGTAAAACAAGGTTTTACCTCTTCTAGCTTCTAATAGGTAGTAGCACAGGCTGGGAGCTGGTGAACTAGCTCTGCCACTTGGAGGCTCTATTTGGGCAAGTTACTTGTAACTTCTGTACATCATTTTGTGAAATGGAGATGAAAAAACAATACAGAACTCAGATTCTATAGTTAAAGGGCTTGAATCGGTGACACAAAAGTGTTCAATAAATATTCTCCACTTTGATTATTATTAAAGACTCCATTCAAATGCCAGCACAGCCTCTGAGGTATTCAGAATTGAATCTCTCCACTTCTCAAGCTTTTCCAAGGCAGACATATCAGCCTGTTGGTTTTGGTGAATGAGACAAGGAAGAGCCACATCTTCAGCCAACACTTGAAACAGACCCTGAATGCAGGCACATAGACAGAGCTGCTTCACTTCTTTTTTTTTTTTTTTTTTTTTCCTGTCACTCAGCAGAGACCAGGAGATAAGAGCTATCTTCCTTCAGGGTAATTCACCCAGTCCAGGGCATAAAGGCCCCTTTAATGCACGGTGCCTCCCTCTGTGAGGGAAGGTTACAGTCACATACACTACAGTTGGCAGGTGGACAGCCATGAGAACATGGACAGCAGGACAGCATACCTATCCAGTACCACCTCCCTCTATCCATACCAGGAAGGGAAGTCCTGTCCAACTGCATGTGTTATACAATCCTTTAGGGAACTTCTAGCTGAATCCACTTCATACCAGTGCCTGGGCCAGTTAGCACCAGTACAAAATCAAAGACAGTGGGCTCTAGATCCCAGAGTTGGAGGTCCCACATTCACATTCCTTACACAATAGAAAAGGTGAAAGGCCATGAGCACTCTTGGCCTTTTAAAGATGGGGAAGTAGCAGACACCACGCATGAAGGCAGGAGAGCCCCATTTGCAGTGGGAGCTGCCCAGGAAGGGCAGGGCCAAGCCTAGCCACCGACATCCCAGAACTCTAGGGAGGCCAAGAACCAAGGGAGGAAGCCCAAGAGAGGAGCAACACAGGCCCCAGGGCCAGGTTTGGTGTGGTAGTACAAATGGTTTTCCCCTCCATGAACCCCCAGCTTTGGGCCTCGTTGAGCTTCTGGCAGGATGGGGCACAGGGGAGCCAAGATGGAGGTGGTCCCTATCTCATGGAGCTATCAGATGAGACATCGCGATCGGAGTCCTCAGTCTCGCTTGGCGGTGGCGGCGGGTCGCTAAGCGGGACCGCAGTGAAAGCAGGAGACTTTCTAGAAGAAAACGCCAGTTGTTATCTTGGGGCAAACAGAAGGCCTGATGGGGCTGGCATGCCTCTTCCCAGGGACTTATCCTTTAGCAGGTAGGAGAAACACTTTGGTGAGGGCAGGGGACCATTGGGTTAAGGATGGAGTCAGGGCGAGGGATGCGGGGAGGAGAGAAAGAATCCTCTCCCACACTGCCCTGATGGGGGAAATGGTCCCTGCTTTTTATCTTACGGGCTCTGAGAGTTTCAGCAGTCAGAAATGTCTGAAGTCACAGCATAAGAGATGTCACCTGAGATATATATGTATGCATATAATTCAAACCTTAAAAAAAATAAGAGATGCCAACTGAGTATACTAACCTTAGGTACCCCGCTTTATGTATATATGTAATTTGTTTTGTTTTTGTTGTGCTGAGAATTCAACCCAAAGTCTCATGCATGCTGGGCAAGTGTTCTACTAAGCCACATCCCTAGCCCTGTAATTTGTTTGACATTTTTGTTTTTGTTTTTTTGAGACAGTGTCTTACTATGTTACCCAAACTGTCCTCAAACTCCTAGGTTCAAGCAATCTTCTACCTCAGTCTCTGGAGTCACTGGGACTACAGATAAACACCAGTGCACCCAGATTATTTGTAGAATTTTTATGGTTTGTAAAATTTACTCTTTTGTAAGGCATAACTTATACAGACAGGGTCAATCAAATGCACAAATCGTGGCTTTGACCTTAGATAAAAATCTGCCACCCCACATCCCTCTGTGTTCTTTGCTAGTTTTTAAGCTGTGTCTAACCAATAAAACCCCTAGAGGTGATGGTACTGAAGGGAGGAAGAAAAAGCTGTCCATCTGGGTCAGACATACCAGGAGACTCGCAAAAGACAGCCCCACATCAAAAGTAACCAGATACTGGGCTGCAATTGTAGATCAGTGGTAGAGCACTTGCCTAGCATATGTGAGACACTGGGTTTGATAATCAACACCACATAAAAATAAATAAATAAAGGTATTTAAAAAAAAAAAAAAAAAAGTAGGTACTACCCAAGGGTATTTAGGGCCTGCTGGTCAGAAGGCTCTGCTCCCCCACTCCTTTCCTGCATCACCCTGGAAGGCAGGTACTCAGAAGAGCAGGCAGGCCCTACACTCCAAGCAGGCCCTTACCGGTCTCCAGACTGGGTGATGAGACGGCGGCAGGTCTCCATCTGCACATCCAGGCCCCGCTTCATGCTGCACATCTCCATGTACTCATGCAGGTGCCGGTTCATGTCGTTCTTTGCTGTGGCCAACTCCAGCTGTGATGGGGCAGGACAGGGCCACCAGAGTTAGCAGGCCCAGGGCTCCCTTGATCAGGAGGCTAACATGCCAAGAGCACCAGCTGGACCAGGGATCCAGGAAGCCATGGTTGAAGGCTCAGATTTAAAAAGAAATCAGATGGGGCTGTAGCTGTAGCGCAGTGGCAGAGCGCTTGCCTGGCATACATGAGGCACTGGGTTCAATCCTCAGCACCACATAAAAACAAATAAAATAAAGGCATTCTTCCATCTACAACTACAAAAAAAAATTTTTTTAAAGACAGAGAATGATTCAATCACTTTTAAAAAATTAAAAATCAGATGGAGACAGAAAGCACCAAACTATACAATAGTTTCCTCAGAACTTTTTTCTTTTTTTTTTTTCCCCCCATGGTGCAGGAGATGGAACCCAGGGCCTCACACACAAATGCTAGGCAAGTGCTCTTATCACCAAACAGTACTCCATCCACCCCCACCAAACAATCCTTTTCTCAGGAATCTCTGCTTACAGAAAAACACAAGGGTATCTGTTGTAGGCCTACATTCTTCTTTTTTTTTTTTTTAATTTTTAGTTGTTGATGAACTTTATTTTATTCATTTGTTTATATGCAGTGCTGAGAATCAAACCCAGTGCCTCACACATGTGAAGCAAGCACTCTACCACTGAGCCACAACCTCAGCCAGGCCTCCATGCTTTTAAAAGATAGACATGAGCAAAGAGAAAAGGAATGTCAACATGGGCAGGAATGGAGATCAACATTCTAAACTGCTTGGGGCAGCCACCTGTAAATGCCCTTGTTCCCTCCCTGGGGTTCCCACAGGGCTCAGCTCATCCCACATTTCCTGTGTGATGCTGGCTCTAGCCAACCTCCCTTACTAACTTGTAGCTCCTTTGAGGGCTTTCAAGGGTCTTACTCATGTCTGTGTGTCCAGCACTCCCTCAATGAGAATTAATCAACTCAGTGAAGTATCTGTAAGATTCACAACAAATAGGAGGAAAACCTGACTGTGCTATTTATTCAAAGAGTCTCAATTCTCTTACCATTTTCTCCTCCTTACTTTATTTCTCGCTTATAAGTCATTTCCAGACACTGAAAAGAAAGACTGCCACACTGAATGTCCTACCAATTATAAGATATAACCTGACTTCAGAATCATTCTATGTGGGAAAATGAGAGGCTTGGAATCAAGGGAAGATGGTCTTCTTCCCAGAACTCAAATCTGCAGACAGAATCTGACTGTGAGGCAGAGTGAGAGGTGGGGCCAAGCAGAGAAGGATCTGGGCCAGAGACAATCTGGCTGCCTTTGTTTGGGGTACAAAGGCCAGGGGGCCAGAAGGGGACAAGAATCAAACTTCTTGGAGGTGACTGGCTTGACTGTTGGAGAGCAAAGAGAAAGAGAAGGAAAGGGCCCGTGAAGAATGTGATTTGCACAGAGCAGAAGCCACCCATACTAATCTGAGTTGGATGAAAAGAGGATGAGAACTGGAAGAAAGGAGGAAATGGGTCATAGGGCCAGACAAAAGGGACAGCAGAGAGTGCCATCTGGGGTGAGATGGTGGCTGGTGGATTGGAAGCCCTAGTGAGGATGGCATGAAAGGCACAGTACCAAGAGGAGCAAGATGTACTAACTATTCCACCTAGGAGGAAAACATGATGCTGAAACTCTCCTTCAGATCAGCTGCCACCTCTACCCAGCCCTTCCTCCTCAGGAAGCCGAGGCAGAGGCTAAAATCCAACACAGGAAAGGGAGGGAAGAAGGAAGGGAAGGGAACAAGGA